GAACTGAGTCCTTAATTTCTCAGCATCCAATACAGTACATGAAGGTCACACTGCAGTGTGACACAGACCAATGACACGAAACATCTAGCCTAAGGAAAATTGACAGCCTCCTCCGCTTTAAATTTATACCAGATGAAGTGAAAGATCAAAGAAGCTCCTTTTAATGGGCTTTTTGGCATGTGGTCCTTTGTTCTTAACAAGTCGCCACCAGCTGCTATGTCCATAATGCCAAGGCAGTAATGTCCCTGGCCAAATTCTCGGCTGATGCAAATCAGTGTCTGAACGCAGATATTTCTATTGGTTGACATCAGCTGAAGATTTGGCTCCTCATGTTGAGCAGGTGCAAGCTAAAGCCAAATCTTCTGTGCCATATTTCACCTTTCCTCTGTCTTCACCATCACTACTGCTCTACACATTCTCAGGCTGGAGAGGTAAGTAGCATCAGCTGTAGCTACTCAAGTTTCTGTACAACAAATTCCATATTGTAAGGACCACTTTTCACCTAATTCTATCTTGTTCACATACATATATATGCGCCCTGGATTATTGTGTAGTAAGTTTCTCATAAACAGAAGACAAGGTGAGAATACCAGACAGGCCATATTCATCCATCAACATTTCAGGTACTATTTAATAGCTGAAAGTAAATATTTTTAATAGTCTTCACTTTTAAGGTTGCCTGCATTAGCTCATCCTGATTACCATGAGTATGTATTAGTTTAAAGGTGACCTACAAACATTTTCTTGATATAAAAACATCTCGGATACCAGGGGCTTCTCAATGTGTATTTGAAATGAAAACATGCTTTTGCTTTGCAGGTAGCAGCGTATCAAAATCCCACAGCACCAGCTGTTCTGATTTTACTCCAGTAAAAGTATATAGATAGATACATGTATCTGTATCTATATAGTATACCTACATTTATATATATCGATATATATATATGCACATGAAATAAAAAAATTAAAATAGCTCTTGAAACAAGAAGTCTAGTTATTTACCCCTTAGTAAACATGCTACTGGTGCCAGCACTTGTTAATGAAACTCATTTAAAAAGGAAACAGAAGCCTGTAATCATCTGGGGCCATACAACACCCCAAAAGCCCAGGTCCCATCTCAGTTTTCCCCATCCACACTGTCTTGGGTTGCTTTAATTAAGTAAATTATGCTTTCAAGTCACCTGCCATTCTCTTTGGGGGGGAAAAAAGTATAAGCAACTACAATACCAGCTCTCTGATCTGCCATGTTCACGGTTTTCAATGTGTTCTTCCCCTTCGAGTGCTTCACTCCTGAATTCTGCAGAAGGGACGCCGGCAGTGCAGCCTCCCCAGCCATCACTTGGTTACAATCGTCACTAGAGCATCACAGTCACCCTCCATTGCTGACTCACGGACACCTCATACTCCCCATTTCCCTACCTCTGGGTAGTTTACATGGGACTGATTCATGAGATGCTCTGTCGTCATCTCCTCCCACCCTCCTTGCATCCTCCACATCTTCTGTATCCCAACGTGGGGCTGCAGGAGCCAGCGCTGCTCCCACCATCCAAAACAGATTTACATTTATCTCATCTCAGCTGTTCTGCCTTAATAACTTCACACAGCAGTTTTGGGCATGACAACAAAAGAATAGCAGGAGTGTAGATGTTATAAAAGTTGAGGTGTTAGCAGAAATTATTTCCATTTATAACATAGCTGACGTTTGTGAAAGTGCACAGGCATCGAGATATTTACAATTATCTAAGTTTAAACAGATAAATTTAGATGCTGGCATTTATAATCTTTCGTAGTAAAGTGATGATATTGCTTAATCAAGAGGTCAAAATGAATTTTAAGTTATCCCATTTTCTTTGCCCCTTTTTAATAATTCAGCATAGAGCCCAGTAGGTAATACATTGTAGAAGATGGATGGAAAACTAGATATTCACATGGAAAATATTCTTCATGAAAGATAGGTGAGAAATTAAGATTAAAAATGCTCCTGTCTTCAGCAGAAACAAGACTAATCTTCTCATTTTTAAACTTAACCTTGCATTGACGAGACATCAGCCACAGTCAGTGAAGGAAATCGCAGCCTTCACGTAAAAGCAGCGTTAGCAAGTTCTGACAGCTTGTTAAAAGCCATGACCAAAGGCAGGGTGATGCCCATCCATCACCCGTGACAAGGACCTCATGGATGGGCTTACCCGTGGTCGTACATCTGAGGTGGGTTGTGAGGCTCTCAGTGAGCCATTTCACATTAACAGGTATACAAGTGCTGGCCACTCATTAAAATAAACACAATTATGTCCTACAACCGTATGTCCTCCTGCAGTTCAAGTGTGACTTCACATCTAACATGGATTTTCCAGCACTTACAGCCCAATTTCTTGCCAGATAATGGAAATAACGTACTCAAACCCACAGAGTCAGTAGAAGATAGAGTCCATAGCGGTGAAATCACAAGATCATATTCCATCCTTGGGATGCTATAGCATGAAATAGGGCTTTCAACACTGAGTTTGAGTGATTTCCATTTCTAAGTATAATTACCATCTGTGAGCATAGCCCAAGATTTACATTTCACTAATAAGCCTAAAATATCCCTTTCGTATGCGGCACGTTGTGGAATTAAATACCTCTGGAGATTATCTG